TGTAAGTGCTCTACATGACCATCTGGCTCTCGCTGTCAGACTGGATGCTGAACTTACGCTTAACTCTTTCACTGCCAGTACCTCCTTCACATCCATACGATAGAAACGCTCATGAACAGATGCCACGTTTACCAAACCGAGGACAGTTCAAGAGATAAGCACACATTTGCAGAGTATTTTTTTAAAAACCAGAAAACTGAACCATTCAGGCCACATGATTTGAGATATAAATGATTGATGACAGACGATTCTGAATCTTCTCTGGCAGCAAATACGCTGACCAGATTGGGTATCTGCTTCAGGCTGTGGAGAGAAGAAAACAAATGGTTAATTTCTCATTCTGACTGCTGATGCAGTGTTCCAGCTGAACCCCTTGGAGAGTCTCTCGCTCTCTCTCTCACTCATACACGCACTCATATACACCTACAAATACACACTGTACTGTAGTGCTTGCCATTCTTCTGAGTAGCCCGCTGCCCTCTCTTTAATTAGGCTAATTGAAATGCGAGAATAACCATTTTCTTGATTGCTCATTATTTTTGGCCAGTTTAAAATGAAAAGCAAGCTTAAAAATGCGAGACCAAGACAGGCGGTTTTACCTCTTTCCTTGGTTGACCCTGTTGCCTGTTGCAAATACCCACAGGTCTTGGCAGGTTTGTGGCATGGCTTAAAGTCTCCAAGCTAGTTGGGCCCTGCTCTGCTTTTGTGACTCCTTGCACCTTTGGCATTCGAGCCGCTACCTTGCTTCAGCATTTCCAGGAAGAGCATCCCCCGCCGGTAGCCTTAGTGTTGTTTAAGCAAGAGAGTCAAGTGGGATTTTCCAGACATCCTTGAGACAAATTGTGAGAGACGGTTTGTGCTTAAGTGCTCTTGGCAGGTCTACAGGTGGTTGGGCGGCTTTTCCTGTGTTCTTAGCTATTCTGTAAACCCCCAAGCAGGCCCACTGTTGGCCCTTAGCTGTGACAGGAGCCTCCCCAAGGCAGCTTGTGCTTATGGAGAGCACGGGGGAGAGAGAGAGGATATGAGGGAGAAAGAGAAAGAGAGAGAGACGCCAAAGTACATCTGGAGCAAGGAGCTGGGGAGTATATGTGTACGTGTGTGTGACAGCCTGAGAAAATGTTCATATGTTTTGTGTCTCCCTGACAAGAAGGTGAGTCATTCCCTCAACACACTCACGTACACACACATACTAAATGCACCCACCCAAGCATGCACACACACAAACACAGTCTCATACACACACACATACACCCAGTTATCGACTAGAGCTGCACGGGGACAGATCACATGCTCATCATTAGCCCTGAAGAACCGGCTGCAGCAGTGTACAGTGATTTTCACCTCATGGTGTGACATTTATCATATGTACACATTATACACATACGGAGTCATTTGCCTTCGAGGAGCTATGTGATTTCCTCATTAACTTCTCGAAATGTAATGAGTCATTGAACCAAGTTCTGTGGCTCTGTTAATTATGGCCCCGTTTCAGCAGCTCTCTCCATGGCAACCTAAAGTTCTGCCTGTCACTGCATGAGAGATGAGGGAATAAAGACATTTTCCCATTATGCTGCCACCCCAGCGTACATATTTCTCCTCAAGACAGGCCAGCTGAGGGTTTGTGCTGCTGATCTTTTAGCACCCTCTTCTGGAGAACAGGATAACATCAAACTAATTCTGTACCGGGTTGCACTAAATGTCACTCAACTGAGTGGTAACCATTGACATTAAAAGCACAGCCGCTTATGATGGAGCAGTGTCAACATAAACAGGAATATGTTTTGGGTTCATAAACAATCAGAAAGTTTAAATGGGTCAGCACTCTTACACTGAGAGTGGGTGTCCACATGTTGACCTGAATGAGTTTAATGGCATCAAATTGAATATCATGAGGCTATTAGCATGCAAATGAGCTGTTTCCACTCATTATCATTCTGACAAAGAAGCATCTGTTAATGGGTGTGTATTTACGTTGCACCTACAGTATGGAATGAGCTTAAGCTAATGAATGCAAATGAGCAGAGTTCAGTGTGGAGTTTCGTGAGGGACCAATTTGCTCTGAAAAGTGTGATAGGAAGAGTGAAAGTGGATGTTATCAGAGCATGTCAGAACTAAAGGAAGTTGGGTGCAAGACGCGAACTGCAAATGTCCCTTTTTGTATTGCTCTCACCGTTTTATTGTTCCCTTGTAAAATGACTGAGGCATACAAGCAACTTGCTACCCTTCAGCTCTTCCTCTAATGTGACAGAAAAAGACTTTGATTCCTGGATGCAGATCAAATTTCTGCACCACCAATTACAAGCCTCTGTGCTGTGTCTAAAGTCGCCCACAGGTGAAGCTGCCAAATCAAATGTCCAGAGAGAGCTTGTGACTTTCACATCATTTGCTTTGCATCTGCTCATGATTTCAATAACATATTTGATGATTTAATTGAGGGATGAGTGAGGGTCAGTTTCATCCTGAGAGGACTGCCACCCGCAAAGAAACAAAGATGAGTGTGATTTCTCACAGGATTGGCAGTGTATTTAATGGTAATAACCTTTTTCTTTTAAGAGTTCAGTGGACCAAAGCCAAGACAAAATACAGTCACTGTAACAGAGCTGGCAGAACACTTCACTGCAGGAAACAAGTGCTCAGGTCATGGACTTGGTTTGTCATTCCCTATAAATGTACTCTTCCGCTTGTTGAAAACAAGATGAAGGATGACTCATGACAAAGTGACTTTTTCCCACTTGCCAGTCGACCACTGCCTCTGGCCTTTGTGCCACTTCTCTCACTAAAGTGCATTTTTAGGTGTCACGAGGGGTTTATTCATAGGTGAACTTCTTTTTCACTGATTGTTATGGGTGAAGCTGCCCGTTATTCCTTACAGTGGCCAGTGATCACTCAGTGTCGTCAGGGTATAGTAAAATGAAACAGTGGAGCACCAGATACGATGCAATAAAGATCTATAAAGGATACAGTGGGTTTGGTGGACAGTAAATATACACGTACTTTGTAAAGTAAAATATTGTGGTCTTTGTACTTTAGTATTTCTACCTTTAAGCAAAAACAAACAAACAAAAACCTTTTATCTAATTTTGCAACTTATTGTTTGACATCTGTTACTTGTGGAGATAGATATTATAATATATGACCATTTTATGAGATATGATGACTTTACTTCCTCATTGTTAGGGGGTCCCACAGACAGCACTGCTCTTTTCTTCTGATCTTTTTTAAAACCCAATACGTAGTGTCGAAGTGGTAACCCTTCCCTTTGATACAAGGTGCACGTTTGCAGAAGGTGACAAAATACAGAAATTACCATAAAGAATTGTTTTTACACTAAGTAAAGAAATAGTAATGTTATATTGGCTATATTTATGAACAAAGATGTTGTCATCTTTGATAGAAATAGCCAATATATTTAAAAAATAAGGGCTTCCATTTTGGGAGGGTAGTGCTGCAAGACCAATCACAGTGTACTCCTAAAACAACACTTTTTTAAAGCGGCCATAGTTAATATTTTAATATTAGCAAATGGCATTGGAAAACAATGTGACAATATAAAACAGATTATTAAAAATGATCACCTGAATCTGATTAACATTTTCTGGCTGCTGCAGGCAGGAAAAAGGCTCTAAAAACCACACTACATGCTCAGCTGGAATTGAGCATTTTAGAAGCTAAAGAACCAGATATTTCCCTCAGGAGCTGATGGAGACAAAAACACAAAAGGAGAGTGAAAATTGGAATTATATCAACAGGTTGACAGAAATATGACTATGAAATGAATGATAATGTTGTACCATAACTGCTGGATGTTTAAATAAGCTACTGTCAATGTTTATTATGTTCACATCTTGTTTTCACTGCCAACAAATGTCCCAAAAGTCAGTCAAAATGTTTAAGTAAATTCTTAAATGCAATGACTTTACTTGTCATTAAGTATTCTTACATTGCATCTAAATGTTTTACCACTAAAACTGACCAACAAGCTAGTCTTAAAGGACCAGTGTGTAGTATTTGGTACCATCTACCACCATTCCAAGAGTGTAGGAGAATCTACAATTCTATCAAGAGCCAGTGTTTTGTTTGTCCGTTACTGTAGAAACATGGCACTTCAACATGGCGTACTCGGTAGAAGTAAGACCCACTCCCTCCGTAGAAAACGGCTCATTCTAAGGTAACTAAAACAGGTGATTTCACACTAATGAAAACATTGTAATATTATAAATATTATATTCAATATATGCTCATAAATGGTAAACACTGGACCTTTAAAGCTTAAAGCACCTGCTTCCAGGATACCTCGTATTCTTCGTCTTTCGAAGGTTTTCCAGTACTTTGTCAGACATGTTATAGGCAGCAAAGGGAAGCGTGTCAGAGCTCAGCTGAGCCTGTTTTTGTGATAACAGATTCGTCAGCGTCTGCTACAAGCAAGAAAACTGTCATCAGGTAAGGAAATTCCTTCCAAGGTGACATCATTATCTCCATTACTCCTGTGGAAACAGACATTCCTACATACTCCTGTCTGCTTTTATTTACTGCAAAACTCACTTAAACTGTGTGTGTGTGTGTGTGTCTGTGTGGAGTGTAACAATATACCAGGATTCATCATTGCAGTTCTTGCTTTCGGCTGGCTCAAACATAAACACTGGTGTGGGATATTTTGCTTGGCTGATGGCCATGTGTTGATGTCAGGCTGGATCTGACTCTGGACTGGCATCATCAGGATAAGGAGCAGCATTTGACCTGAACACAGTTTTTTGACATGCATACAAAGCTTTAAAGTGTGTGTGTTTGTGTGTGTGTGTGTGTGTGAGACAGCTGACAGCTCTGCACATGTAATAACATCTACAGGCTGGACTTCAGGACTCCAGAGGATGATGGCATAGTGATTCACTAACTCAATCACACGCATATAACGATCCCTCTGTCTCTTTCTCTCTCTCTCATACACCCACACACACATACACACATGTTCATTCTTTCCATTCTAAATTCAATAATACACATTTTGTTTGTGTAACAGTTTCAAATTTTATTTCCAAAAGACAGGCAGTTTGCAAAAAAATATTTTTGGGGGTGAATGCATAGTTTTTACATGACAGATAGACACAAACAGCACATACACAGATACTGAAGAAGGACAAGGGCAAGGCAAACCCAGCGGTTTCTGAAAGCCGTTTCCTTACTTTGGTAAAGGTGCTCTCCATGATAACCATCACACATACAGTATAGCAACAGATGATTAGATATTACAGACAGACAGGAAAACTATTTGTTCCCCGGTACTTATTTTAAAGGAACAGTGACATGCTAAGAAATGTTAATGTTTGACGTCAAACTGAGAATCTGATGAAGGAGAACAATATCAGTTTCATCTCTGAGTGTTTGTGTCGCCATAGCTTTATGACCGTGACATGTTTAGACCTGGGACCTGTTTGTCAAAATCATCTTGATGATTAGATGATCTTAGTTAGAAGAAGAAGTTAGATCTTAGAAGTAGATCTTATAATGGTACAAAGACTGGAAACAGGGGGAAACTCCTAGCCTCGCTCCACCAAAACTGGAAAATATGGATTGGACTTTTGATAGGTCAGCTGACAAAATGCTTTACATTCACCCACTGACACAGTTTGATGGCCATGTAGGCATTGGCCTGGCTATCAGCAGCAATTTTGAGGTTCGGAGCAGGACTGAACCACCAACCAGCAATTAATGGACAACGAATCCAAAGCTGTCTTATTTACACATAATGTAAGTGATAATGCACAACAACTTCAAGTGGGGTACTGTTTCCATTAGTCCATTATTCTTTATATCAGTACCTCTCTCTTACCAAATGAAAAAAAAGTTATGTTTCAATTTGTATTCATTTTTAATGTTTGTGATGTTGCATTTACAAAAAGTATAGTATATTCACAATTACCTCCTGATATTGAGTATTTTGGGAGGTTTCCAATATAAGATTATGACAGGCACCTGCCAGCCAATCAGTATATTCTGTGGCCATAAGGGTTAGGGTTAGTCATAATAAATAATAGTCATCAGAATTTTGTTTTCACAAGGATGACTGAGATGTTGTGTGCAGTCACCGGGTCAGCTACTGTTTTTTTAATATAAAAATACTGATTATAGCTGCTTTAAGTAAATGAGATACAACATAAGACAGAGTTCCTGGAATGTGTGCTGATGCTGCTCCGCTAGCGGTTTTCTCCTGCCGAGATGAAACTGATAATGACAGCGTCAATCCTCCCATCTCACTGCTTATTTGACAGCTAACAACCATATTCCCCCAAAACTCTTGAACTGTTCCTTTAAATCACAAAAACAGAAGAGAAATACAGGCCATGTAACTATCTACAACTATCAGACTGATTCTGCTTGTACGGCTGCTTAGGATTCATTATAATCACAGTGTTAGCGTCACTTTCTTCATATGTTGAGAGTCTTTGTGAGCATTTTAATAGCAATGTGTTGAGGTGCAAAAAAAAAAGACAAAAGAAAAAGCAGCTCATAAAATAGCAGTCCTGTAATTTCAGCACCAAATGATTAGGTATATAGCTAGCGTACCTTACAAGCAGCATTTTATACCTTTTTTACATTAAAGCATCGTTTATCATATGGTTTCAATACAAGTGGTCTATGCATACTGTATATATTAAAACATTTGTCAAAATCCTTCAAGAGAGTACACAAACTGGGTAGTTTTTCAAAATCTCTCTATGCTAAAATATCCACCTAAGGGCAATCGTCCCCTCCTCACAGACCTTCTTTGGCTAACAGCTACTTGGTGTTATTCTTTACAGCATTGATTTTATGTTTCTGGCATTTAGACATTTAACCAGGTTGTGACTTCACACAGTGAAATAAAGCATGTGATGTGACAAGATCTTTCATTTTTCGGTCTAAATGCGTCAACTACACCACCTCGACATAGTTGGCTGGGTAAAGCCCCTCCCATCCATCGTCCTTCATCCCCCGACACCAGCCTTGATCGTCCTCATCCTCGATCTTCAAAAACTCCTCACCTGCAGAGAGGCAGAGCCATTTCTGTACTTTTTTTTGGTAATGGAAATGTTAAAATGTTTATTTCTTTCTACGTCTTTCTTTCAATTATTTTTTTGATCCATTGAGAAATGGATAACAGTCTATGAAAAAAAAAACAGCAAAAAATGATGTCTTCAGATTGCTTGTTTTGTCTTATCAGCAGCGCAAAACTCGAAGATGCCATCACAGAAGAGTAGAGAAACATCTGAAAGTCTGAGCCAGTGAATTGCACTCTTGCTTAAAATGACTTAAATTATTAAATGATTAGTTAGCTACTTGATTATTAACTAATTGTTTAGCTCAACAACTGAAACATAAATAGACAGTATGCCAAATTACAACACTTTCACACAATAAATACGCTTCTGCATTGTGTTGATAATGAATGGATGTAGGATGGCAAGTGTGTGTTTACCTGCTTTAAATGACAGCTCATCTGTCTCCTGGCCAACATAATCATACAGAGCTCTTACTTTCACTCCTCCAATCATCACACTAGAGGAAGAAAAAGAGACAGAAAGAAGAGACAGGCAGACAGGTGGATGTTGGATCAGCTTCAGATTGGTGTAAAAACACTAACTTGCGTCTCCTTTGGGATAAATATACTCACCTCCTCTCTATTGTTCCTTTCTTTTCTACTTCCTTCTTCCCTTTTTTGTTTTTCTTCTCGGGCGTCCATTCCTAAAAAAACATTTGAATTTGAATTAAAATTTAAAAAAAAGAAGAATTAAACTTTTAGTAGTGGAAATAATTTGAGAACGAAACGAAAATGGAATACCTGGAAGTGAGGCCAGTCGGTGGGCATGCCGGGCCCGTGGGTGTTTTTCCACCAGCGAAGGTCCTCATGCTCATCGATGGCCATCAGCGTGTTGTGGAGCTCATCGTACACGGCCCTCACACTAAACGAGTGGTGGAGGATAAATAGGATAACCCAAAATGAGCTTGATATTTACAGACAAGCAATAAAGACCGGAAATCCATTACCCATTACTTTAAAAACATTTCAACTGCTTCCAGTCTCTACAGAGCAAATGTCACTTATTTCTTGCTCTTTGACTGACATTTCAGCTGCTATCACTGCTTACATATCAGCTGGCTCTTCAATTATTTACAGTGCACACATTTTATCTCTGGCGCTTAAACAACTTCAGCTGAAATTTAAATTGCTTTCATCATTTACAGTTCAGCTGACACTGCATCTGCTTTCATCTCTTAGTCTTCCGAGGCTTAGTGTTCACCTGTTTACAGCTCTTACTTTCCAACTGTTAGCATTCAAATACAAGCTAACAATTCAACTGTCCGCAGGAATTAAACTTATGCACCTGCTGCAACAGACCCTTCAACCTCTTTCAGTGATTCAACTTCAAACAGAACAGTCTGACTCACCTAAACACCGACTGAGGGAAATTATTTCTCTTTTATGGTGTTATCTGAGCCAAAAGCAGCCTGCCAGACAGTTTAAATGTTTTCATTGTTGTTATTTTCTATATTAAAATGTCAGTTTAAGAATAAAAAAAACATGTGACTATTTACTTGAAGTGGTGCTCAATGCATCGTAATCCGAGCATGCTATAATAAACACAACATGCAGCAATATAGGGGGTTGAATAATTTATAAGGAAGTTGTATACTGTATATCATTTTAATCCAACATGCTGATGTTTCTCTCATGGTTATACTGCAACTAAAGTTTATCGACATTTCTAATTGGCACAAAATCTGCTTGCACTGCCATCCAGAGCATTTTAAGTAAAGTGTTAGCCAAAAATTAAGTAGATTAATAGAGTATATAATTTCTATCTACCCCATATCCCCCTGTGGCCCCTGAAGATTTTATAAAGTAATTAAGTTGCTGTCTTAGCTATTATTTCATTTGTTAGAGTAGAAGTGAATCACTGAGAAACACTTATGTGCCATGTTTAGTGGAACAGTTCAATTAGGGCTAAAGCAAGTCAAATTATTGATTTTAACATACTTAGCTTTAAACACACAGCCGAGCTTTCCAAGCTGGGGAAACCACAAATAAAATGATCTATTCTACCTGTTTAACCACACCTTCATCTAAGTAGCAGAGACAGCTGCAACATACACACACACACACACACACACACGTAATGCACTGTGGTTCACCTCTCATTGTTGGTAATGTCCAGGTGTTTGTGGATGGAGAGAAAGGCCTGTTTGAGGAAGACAATCCTCTTGCGCTCCTCGTCCTGCGATTGGTCAAAGATGGACTCCATCTCCTCCATGTAGCGTGGAGCGTAGCGGTTCACCTCCTCAAGGACTTTCTCATAGCGGGCACGAACCTGAAAACATTTAACCACACTTTCACACACTGATGGGGACCCATTGGGTATAATAAGTTGCCTTACTCCAGTGATACTCCAGTTTAAGGCTGGTGATAGGACCATTGGACCATTCTTTTATTCAAAATGAAAATAAATTCACACTGAGATTTTTTAATGAAAATAAATTCACACTGAGACAAAAACCTTATATTTATCTAAATTAACTCAAAACAAAACTGCTCATGGATTGTTCATAGTTTTTTTGTGATGCAGTTCTCAACTCTTCTTCCTTCCTTGGAAATTCACTTCATTCAATTCAATTCAAATCTGAATTAAACATTTCACACAGACCACCATTTCCTCCCAATACACTGAATTGTTCACATCCATTTTTGCTGGCTAGCAACCTTGTTCTTCTTTGCATTTTGTTGGCATCGCTACATTTCTTGGCGCCACGGACTGTCAGTCTGTGAAATAGCCTCAAACAGGCAGAAGGAAAATGTGTTCCATCGTCATGAGCCCGTGTGTGCATGAAATACAAAACAACTGCTCAGTACCACCAGTGATCAAAAACTCCACACAGTGCCTTTAATTACTGATAAAATTCAACAGATAAGTGATGGAGCAGATGGAGACCGTGGACGGTGCCAATCAAAAATCATTAAAACACACGTCTCACCTTTTCGGCCTCCTGTTGAACCAGCTCTCTCTCCTCCTGGATCTTCTTCTGTTTGTCGATGGCAACGTCTGGGTTTCCCTGAGCGTGTGCCTCTCGCTCCCTGGCTGCCTGCTCCTTACGGCTCACTTTGTGGTACGCACTCCTGGCTTTATCAAGCTGTGGATGAAGCAAAATATGCCTTATTATCTTCAGTTGTGGACGAATAAGGAAAATCCAGGACAAAGGGTTCACAAAAGGTGTGTCCATCAGCATGGTTCTTACATGCATTTCAAAAGCAATGTAACCTGTACAGTTAATTTTGCAAAATGAGATGCACCTGCCTTTGAAAAGCATCTTCCTGATACCCAGAACAAAATAAAAAGTGGTGCATTAAGTCTGCGGTCTAAATACAAATCTTGAATCAAAGCCATTTACTTAATGAGTACCCATCTGTGATTTTGCAGTCACTTTAAGTATGTATGAAGTATTGATTCTCTAAGGGGCTTCTGTATTCTTGATGCAATTATGTAATTCTGCTTTTGATAAATGTCCTCTTGTCCTTAGCTGCTTTCAAATCCCAGAAAAGCCCTGATTGAAGTGGCTTATTGCTTTTGAATGCATAAGATAAACTGTGAGAAGTGAGTTTCTTGTTTAAAGGTCTCTTCAAGGATAGGAAAATGTGAGTGAGGGATGTGAATGCTGCCAAAAACAAACAATTAAAAAATAATAATAGTCTTCTAAATGTGATTATATTTTTGTTAATTGTAGTGGGTTTTTTTTATTTTTAGGAAGAAAAGTCTGTAGCAAAATATCCAGAATGCTCATTTTTGTCTCAGCCAGCTGGATGGTTGTGTCCCACTCTTTGTTTAATTGACAGCAGCTTGCAGACTGTGGGGAACTAGAGACAAAAGAACGGTCTATGAGATTGCATGACACACCCACTTTACTACATTACACACAGTTAGCTTCCTGGATTAACATCCTTTTTTAAAAACCCAAAGATGCCTAACCAAACTGTGAGTGTTTCGAGGATGAAGTAGTCCTTTAGCTCTGTGGAGCCGCAGATAGACCTACTTGAACTTGTGCTGTAGCCTACATGTCACAGGCAGACAGCTGTT